TGGGACGATGAACTCCGAAATCGTGACGCGAATGCTGCCTCTTCTGTTTTCTCGAATATTGTCGTCTATGCGATCGGCACCCATATCTAGAAACCCTCCTTGGTCCTACCACCGAATCAAGCGACTGAAGTCATCCAAACGAGCTGCCTTGAAGAAATTTTGTAATCTTCGAACGGAGGCATCGAAGAGGAAGTACAACCTCGTTAACAAACATTATAAGCGGCTCAACAAGCAGCTTTATCAAGCCCATAAATTTACCGAACGAGCAGATTGTAGCCGCCGTAAGCAATGTTCCCGTATGGTCTGCTCGTAGAGCTGGCCTTCGTTTGAAAAATTCTTTTAGCACGGGACAGCAATTCTTTCAGCACAGGCAAACGGACCGCTCAGTGAGCTGCAGTTCACGCTTGTGGGCAGCCTTTCGTCGTGTACTGGAGAACAATCTACAACGCCACTCACCACACGCGGTGAGACCGGAGTGGATTCGATTTTGAAATCTGTGTTAGGGAAAGCGCTTCTCGCAGTCAATCAGTGATAATTTTCATTATTATAGCAACAGTTGCATATTCGTGCAATTTTCAATAGTGACCTATTGAAAATTGATAAAGTGTTCATTTAAGCGGATTTGTAGATGACATTCCAATCGATTGGCTTGTTTATAATTAATATCCATCCGCTATTGACTGAGTTATAAGTGGTCAAAACCTAACCACTTTTCGTAACGCGGTCGATTTTGTTTTTTGAAATTGCACCCCTAATATGATGTCGAAAGACTTAATCCTACTTCAAAAAAAAAATTCGTCCAAAACAAATAATATGTAATTCTAGATGATTGTTTTAAGTTGGGAGCTGGCTAAATGCTCACTACAGAAGCGTTAAAGCCGAGAAAACGTGAATCGTACTCAATTTAGAGTTGTTTCATGTACCGTGTACCACCAAAATCTGTCATTTTATCTGTTAACTCATCATCTAAACTATCTGGATCTTATTTACTGATTAATTTTTATGAAAAAAAAACGCAATGGGTCTATCGTTTTGCACAGCTTCGGTTTACTAATAGCGAATTTGTTTTTGATTCAGTTCCAACCTGGATCGGGTATCAAGATTGGGTCTGCTTGTTGCCTTTCAAACGTCAGTGTTAACGTTTGTTTTTTGCAACCTGGCTCGGGTTGAGGTTTGCGCTGACAATAAGCTCGGGTTCACACGGGTTGGAACTGGAAATTCGCTATAAATTTTAGTGAACCCGTCACTCAGCAAGAGCAGTCACGTTTGTTCTTTGCCCTCAACTTTATCATGCTTGTTTTGGCGTATGATGGAAGAAGGAGCTAGTAGCTTGAACACCATGTGAAAAGGTCCAATTACTTTAAACGTCGATTTCTCGTGAATCTAGACTCATGCTGGCAAACCAACACCAGCATGTTAGAGAAAGTTTAGTTTGTGTAGGCGAGTTGTAATTCGTGAACAATTGATGTTTAAATGCATTGTTTACGTTTGGATTGTATGCCTTTTTTACATGTTGATCGAGATCGTTCTGGTGAACTCAAATCTGTGTAAATCGAATACCCCAATTTTGGGTTGCTCGTCAACTGGGAGCCCCAGCCCCAGCCCCAGCAGCCCCAGGAACAAGCTGAGCGATATTGTAGGTCTTGCAGACCGTCGATGTACGTGCACTCGCGGTGTTCCGAATGGAAGATCTTCCGTTGCTGATGATTGGCCATTTGCGCCAGGAATTGAGCTGCTCGTGAAAATAACTTCTTGAATCTCGGCTTTGGTGGCGACCCAGAACCGGGCAATCGAATCCAGGTCCATCTATGGTAGTTGTTAACCGGATCAGCACCCAAGTATCAATATAACACAGGTCACTGGAATTTCGAATCGCGGAAAATGTGCTCCAATTACGAGACAAACTATCTCACATCAATTTTAATTTTTAATTTTTCCAAATTTTCAAACGCGACAAAGAAAACAAACGTCACGGCCGTACGGACGCACAGCCTACTCCTCTCGAATTTATGACGCATCCCTGTGCCTAAACTGAATTTAATTGTGTTTTGTTTTCTAGTTCGTCTATTTGGAAGGCTCAATCGCGTTAGCTTTACGGAGCTGATAATTCGTTGTTCATTGTTTGTAGCAAAATTCACTTATTTCTAAGTCTAATAGGAGTTGGGCCGTATACTCGTGGCTTATCCGAGGTCAGAGAGGTACATTGTCGAAGGGTATGAATTTACTTATCCTTCATTTGTGTTGAATACTTCAACATAAGCGAGAATAGATCAGCAATTGATCATAAACTTCGAACAATTTCTGATGTTCCTTTTGCATTGATGATCCGTTTTAACAGAAATTGATGCCGGATGTTTTGAAATAGAAAATGTAGTTCAAATCACTTCCTGACAACCACAGCCACAAGCCCTCTAATCATATTCCTCCTAGTCCATCGCACCTAGTCAGTTCGCACCCCAAGTGTGAGTTTAGATCCTGTTATTTAACTTCAACCCACCTCCAGCCCTTTCTCTAAAGTGCGATCATAAATTCAAAACATCATTTACATGACTTAGAGTCAGCAGCAGCAGCCGCAGCCATGTCTGCTGCCGTTGGCAATTCTCCCGGGTGCCATCTTCATAATAAGCAAATCACTGCGCCAAACCCCGTTCGTTCGTTCTTTCTTCATCGGAGGAGCTTTAATACAACAAAGTGCTGTTTACATATTCCTGTACGCACGGAATGGAACGCCGAATTAATTATTCATATTCTGAAAACGTTTACGCTTTAATATGCACATAAATTCAGCGTCAGCAGTAGCCGCCTTTTCTTCTGGATGGATTAATTCAATTCGTTAAACATTGTTTTCGCCGATGATCGTCGCCTTTCTTAAAGGGGTTAGAGAAAACCTTCGTTAAATGGAGAATAGAACCGTTGACGTTTAACAGACAGCTCCATCCATTGGCGGGGAAAATTGGAACCTAAAGCACATATTTAACATTCAATTTTGTATTTGCATACATACATTTATTCCCACCGGCAAATATGCTTTTTTGCAACGCACGCTCATTTACTCCAAAGGATGATTGCGGCTGGCCAGTGCCGAACGGCGACCATAAATCAAACCAATCCTCAACCTCGGTTGAAGTGACAGCAGCGGGCATTGTGTTTAAGAAGATTTCAGTTGATTCAATTTTATGACCAAAAAAGATTTGGTGCCATAAAACAGCTCTTGAAAGTTATGGAATAAGTGATAATCGACTGTTTGCTTTGCAAACGATGGAAATACTGTTAATGTACAGAATTCAAAACGATTGATGCCAACAAATTAAATCACTTTTGATACCAAATAAGTTCTCAGAACTTCACTCAACTCCTTGGAATCGCCCTGCCTATCACTCCCAAATCAATCGGCCACTGAACCTGCATCAATCAACAAGAACCCCGATCCAGTTAGCAGTCCGTTCACGCTCAATCAACCCGCCAAGTCAAACATCTGGCCAGCCTGACTCGGCAGCGCTGAAACAGTGCAAGAACTGCCCAAAAACAAAAACCCAATAACTACCGATCTTTGAGCGATGAGAGAAAAAAATCCATCATCGCTTTTTAACCGGTGGTCCGGAGAAGGTCTTCTTCAAAGAACGCACTCTACTCTTCCAATCCGGAGGCCAACTTCTGCGCTTTCGGGTGCACCAGTCAATTAGAGCTCTCTACTTTTGCTCTCCCCCAAACTTCTCTTTCGTTGTGAAAAAAAAAAGTACAAGTCTGGGTACTCGGAAATAACAGATCTTCAGAGCGTCCGCGCCTGATTAAGGCCTTGTGTTGTTTCCCTGCTTCTTAGTCGGGGTCTGTGTGTTTACCATTTTTGTTTGGCCCTGCTTCATTTTTCACGCGTACGAGTAGCCAATGCCCTCGGTTGCCCAGAAGACGATCGCATGTTCAAACGAAATGGGCCTCCCTTAGCTCCATCGGTAAAGGTACAGCTATAAAGCAAGGTCATGCTGGAGGCGGCTGGGTTCGATTCCCGGTCCGGTCTAGGAGTTTTTTTTTCGAGTTGAAACGTTTCTCAGCTTGCAACACAATAATACTAAGACTGCAAAAATCGTACAGACTTAGAAAGCTCTCAATTAACAGCTGTTGAAGTGCTCAAAGAACACTAAGTTAAGAGCGGACGTAAAGTCCCAGTGGGGTCGTAATAAAGCCAAGTAAGAAGAAGATGTCAAAACGATACCAATGGTAGCCCTATTCCCCATTTGGATTCCTCTATTGTTAGGGGCGACGAGGGCATGCGAGGTCAAAGATTAAGAGCGAATTCTTGATCCCCCCTCTTCGTGCCAATCAAAGCACCATCAGCGCGCCGTAAGAAGCTAGTGGATCCATAGGGCCTGCGTGCCAGCTAGAGCGTAACATCCGCCCGCCTGCCGGAGGTTCTAGCGCTTCACCTACAAAGCAAACGATGCGTAACGCGAAGATGAGAGACGACTTGACCGAAGGTAGTTCGCTCTCTTCGTTCGCCTCTCTCTCTCTCTCTCTCATTCGGTTGTTCTCTTCGGGCTCACGAATAAATTAGACATAAATTACGCGGTTGAATATATTTCGGGTGTGGGGTTAAGAATTCCGAGCAATTAAAAATTCGAATTCCGATAGAGAAGAACAACCACAAAGTATTCTCGGAAGGGCCGGGTAGATCAGAGCAGGCTACGACATTCGGTGACATCGTTAGCTCGCTGTTTGACGCAACCGAGCTGATGTCACGTTCCCGCTCATTCACTTGCTGCTTGAATTGGATTCTCGGAAGAACAACAAGTGTTAATCATTCATTACCTATTTTTAAGTGGCTGAATCAATCCGGAATGCCGATGGAGAATCAGGTAAGCATATGAATCTGTCAATCTGTCAATGTCCAACCCCCAATGGATCTAGCAGAAATATTCGCATTGCTACTGCTGTTCCAGTACTCCCCCGAAGCGAATATCAATTAGATTCCAACCCTCATCTGCAATTCGTATTCAATTACTCACCTTTGGAAGCTGTCAGTCGCTCGGTTCAGATCGCAAATGTATTTAATCCAAAAGGTTATCTCCTCTATCCACCGCCGTAGCGTCTTTTCTTTATGATTGTTTCTCGATCTTCGTTGTGTTGCTCCTTCCGTGAGTAATAAGCGAAACAATTTGTTCGTTAAATCATTTTATGACAGTTGCACATTCGCGGCCAGATCCGACCACTTCATAACAATTTCTTCTTGAAATTCACAACTTTTTCGTTTTGTTTTGCTTTCGTTGGTTGTTTGGTTTCGCTCAATTTACGCTTTGATTGCACCACTCTCACTGTCAAAGAAAGACCGTTTTCGCAACTTTTCACAGATCTTCCTGAACACCACTTTTTTTTTTGTTTTGCTTCACAGACCAATTATTTCCGGTGCATTATCTCATTTAAACTTTCTTATTGCTCCAAAAATGCTCTTTGTTGAAAAAAAAAAGAATTCGTTTCTACACATCAAATCACTACCAACAGCAGCTCTTTTCGGTTGTCTCACAAATCACGCAATTTCGTTAAGCTTCACTTCAAACGACATGGCATTCGCTCTTCGCCTGATTCAATCCAAAAATAGCAAACCACAGCCACTATTTCTTCTTAGGCACTCATGCAAATTTATAAAAAAAATCACAAACCCACAAGTCGCACAACTCCAACTACTGATAAAGATGCCGCCATTCATCCGCTAGAACCGAGCCAGCCAAGTTCTGTTCCCAATATCACTACACAGTACGACCCGCAACTAATCACAACAGTGTACTATCAGCACTTTTCTTCGATTTGTCTTCTTGTTATTCTTGTCTGCTCCGTCTCCTCGTCGTAATAGCACTAAAAATTCCGAACAATGCTGACGCTGTTCAACAACCGACCGGACGCGTCCTCTTCGTCGTCATCAGGCAGCACCGTAACCGTTTGTCAACAACATCTCCGTCCGCAGTTCTTGCTCGCAATGAAACTATCAAATCACGCACAAAACACTTCCACTCACGTGCACGGTTTAAGCTGGACTGACTTAACGTCCCTATGCGATGGACTTAAGCGCCACGGCTCTCTCTCTCTCTCCCACTCACAATCCCTTCGACCGACCGACGCTCGTTCTCTCCGATGATCGACTTTCGCTCTTGATCGATTCGCTTCTCGCTTGAAAGCGTGAGCGATGCTCTCACGAACGGGAGCACAAAGCGGAGCTCAATGATACACCCTCGCTCACGGGCTTACTGCATTCTCCGGCCAGTGTGGTCAAGTGTACGGGTTTTTGGATTTCCTACAGATTTTCCAGATTTTCAGGGATTTTTTTTTTACTCTAGGAATGACGGTTTTGGGAAATAATCATTAGATTATTTAGCGATAATCAATGCTGTGGAAACAAATTTACCTATCCGCGGTTTCGAACTCCATGAAAAGTTAACAACACTATCCCCAGCACTGCCGGCCGCCTATCAACCTATCAGGTAGTACGGAGTTGACAGAGGGCAGACAGTTATGCATAACTCCAGTACAATAAAAATGCTACCATACCGCTGCTGGAGTTGCCACTGTTGCTGATGATGTTATTCCTTGCGAACCTGCACTCGGACTGGACCGGTCGGTCGCGGTCTCGTAGATTGAAGGGAACGCACCGCTGAACATGGAAGCATTCAGTGGAACATCATGCTTTCTGCCGTGGCATTTTCGTCGTGGTGCGACGGACGACGCGAAGTTTTGTTTGTCTGAGGCTGTCTCTTCCAGTAGGCCTTCAGCAGGGGCCGGGATTGGCACAAGCAAACATGGGAGAAGCAACACAACACAGGAAGGCGGAAGATTGATGTTTGCGACGAGCTTCGAATAGTGTGCATACAGAACGAAATGTAATATGTGGGTACCTACGAGACCTGCAGGGGATTAAGTGGGAACTGTTCGGTGAACTGTTTTTGGGAATATGCATTGATTTATGATATATGATGAGGATGACATATGGCATGGTTATTTTAATTTCTAGGAATTCCATGATTTCCATGAATTTCAGTGAACTTTTATGAAGGTGAAGAAATTGGAAGAAAATTAAAGGGCTTCCGGAAATATTTGGATAAGTTCTGGAATTTTCAATGAAGTTTTAAAGACTTCATAGCAACTAAGGATAAGGTTGGGCCTCCCATAGCTCAGGTGGTAAATGCACAGCTATAAAGCAAGACCATGCCTGAGCCAAAGAAGAAGACGATATACATTTAGTAAGAAATGTTATTCCAGCGCATTTTAAAGACACATGAGAAGTTGATGGCAGTGCTGAGATTGTCATTGACAGACTTTCGCGCGATATTGACAAAATTGTTATTCACTTAGTCACTGATAGACTTGATCCTCAAAAAAAAACTTTTGTCAAAATCTCATTCATTTTTAGTTAATGACAAAGATTCACATAGTCACAATGAGTGTAATTGTTAATTTTGAGTCACATTATTGTTATCCTAGCAGTTTAGGACGTAGATACTTGTTCACTTTAACGGCTCCATTTTTTGGTCAAGTCATTTAATTTTGTTTCAAATTTAGCTAATTTATTTATTTATTTATTATTAGTCTATCTGACTTTAAAGTCTTAATGAAACACTTAAAGCTTAAAGTAGTCATACATTAAAATTACCCGACATTAAGCGATTACGAAATCTGGATGAAGTGATGCCAAAATCGAATTGGTCGGATACCACGTTGAATTGACGAACCATGGCGACAAGAGAGCTGTTAGCTGCATAATTGGTATTGTGCGCTTCCACGTGTAGCAAAGCTCTCGGACGGAGTGTATGAACAGGTGCATATTTAGAGATGAACTAGCCTAAGGCTAAAAATCTCTTTAATAAAGCCTTAAAAAAACAGGTGCATATACATTAATCTTAGCCAGTAACTCCGGCACATCATATTCAGCAAGCAAAACTTTGGTAACGAAGACAGCCTGCGATGCGTTTCTCCGCTCAACAAGAGTATCCAAGCCCAGCAAACGACAGCGATCAGCATACGGTGGTAGATTAAGCGGGTCGCTCCAAGGAAGATAGTGCAATGCGTATCTGAAGAATCTACGTTGGACAGCTTCGAATCGTGCAATCCATACTGCACACGCAAACTCAAGCAATGAGCGCACCGATGAGCAGTAAAGAGCTTTCAAACACAAAGGATCCCGGAATTCGTTTGAGATTTTGAACATGAATCCTAGTTGACGGTTCGCTTTGTCGATGGTGGCTGAGAAGTGGCGAGTGTAAGTAAGCCTTTCATCCAACACGACGCCAAGGTCTTTTACGTGATCAGCACCCTGGAGTACAGTGTCAGCAACATTATAATCGAACAAAATAACATGTCTAGTTCGGTGGAAGCTAATCACACAACACTTTGAGACGCACAGGAACATAACATTACGCACACACCAATCATGACAGATCTACAGAAGCTTTTGTAATTCTAAGCAATCAGCTTGGTTGCGAAAAACAATGTAAATTTTCAGGTCATCAGCAAAAAACAATTTACCTCCGCTAGGCAGGATAAACGTTGCATCATTCACAGATAGAGAGAAGAGCAGTGGTCCCAGTATGCTTCCCTGTGGAACTCCGGAAGTGTTCGAGAAGCAGTAAGATGAGTAGTTTCCGATGCAGACAGTAACTTGCCGTTGTACGAGGTACGATCTCAGCCAACTGCAGAAGGGAGCAGAACATCCAGTCCAGTTTTGCTAGTAGAATCCACTTGGAGTTTCTTAGATACATTTTCCATGCAGAAAGACGTAAAGCTGACGAGATTCGTTTCGACGGAGCGGCCATGTTGGCAGGTGCTAATGTAGTTTTCGCAGGAACCAAACAATCTCTCATTGACCAGCGACTCGAACACTTTAGATTCGACCCCGAGCGAGGTAATCCCTCTGTAGTTTTCCACATTGCATTTGTCTCCTTTCTTGGAAACAGGGAACATAGTAGAGCATTTCCAAAGCGTGGGAAACTTACGCTGATGGAGCGATAGATTAAAAAGCAGGGTCAGCGGGGCGGCTAAGATATCACAGCATTTTTTCAGCACAGCAGATGGCATAACGCTCGGTCCGGGTGAAAAAGAAGATTTAGTTTTCCTTATCGCAGAGAGAACCATTTCAACATGCACAGTAAAAATCCATGTTTACGACATCGGTTGGCACATCGCGGACTGCTAGATTTATTTCAGCTTGCGATGGTGAGTCGTTCGAGAAAACGCTCGAGAAGTGCCTTGCAAAAAGCCTTAATTTATCCTCAGTTGTCAATGCTACGTCGCTGCCCAGAAACACCTTCGACGGGAGACCAGTTTCCTTTCTTTTAGTATTCACGAACGACCAGAATCCCCTAGGATTGCTTCACAGATTGCGTTCAGTACGAATTACATACCGCTGGTAGAGAAGCTTGTTGTAGCGGCGATAGTTGTTGCTGGCAATTGAAAAATTCCGTTTGGTCAAGAAACACCGCCGATGAATAAGGGCACGAAGTGTTCTAGCACGTGCTCTTTTCAGGTTGCGGAGAGTAGTGTTAGTCCATGGCGGTTTTCTAGGAGGTAGGCACTTTGGCACTGAAGCAGAAATACAGTCGCGCAGAAAGCAATTATAGCGATCGACAGCTATGTCGATCTCCAGGTCATTCAACACGTTCCAGTCTATCTCGGACAAGGAACGTCGCAGCAAACGTAAATCAGTCTTCCGGAAGTTGAGACGATAGACAATCGAAGTTTCGTCAAAGTGAAGTTGAGATCTATTTGCGATAGAAATATCCAAAGCAGGATGGAAGCTGTCAAGAGGAACGATGACATCAGGCGCCTCAGTAACGGTACAGTCAAGAAGTGAATTTTCACTAACGAACACCAAGTCAAGGAAATGAGACTGAAAGTTGGGAACTAGATTTATCTGCCTCAATCCATGAAAACCAGTACCGTCCACAAGCAAGCGGCTGGCCGGAGTAGTAACAGATGCTATTGGATCTGGATATGCAAATCTCTGACCTGAGTGCGACCAGATAAGCCCAGGCTGATTGAAATCACCGAGCATAAGAATAATGTCCTAATCATTAGCCATAGAAGAAGCAAATTCCACAGCATCCATATGAAGTTGCATTATGCTACAGTCGAGACGTCGTTCAGGGGGAATGTACACCGCTCCAATAAAAATGCTCCGTGAAGCGAGGCTAATTTTCACCCAAACAGTCTCAATCGAAGTATGTATATTGTTCATACGCGATCTGGCAAGAGGCAAATGCGTTGGAAACAGTTACGAGAACACCACCTCCGCGATTACGAACACTGTTGGCAAGATTACGGTCCAATCGGTAGACATAAACGTCAAACTCCTCGTCAAGCGCAGCAAGATAAATATCGTCCAATTTAGTCTTGAGTCCTCTGGTGTTTTGATAGTACACACGTAAACCGCGTTGAGATACAGCGTGTGTCCCGCAAGAAGGTAAACTGCAACTCGAAGAGGTATCAGAACTTGACAAATATTCATCTATGCAACTGTACTTGCCTGTGGTCACAGGTTGGAAGACCCCGTCTCCATTTCCGAACTCAGGACCGGGACGACTATGACGGCGGGATCCAGCAAGCTCGACTGAGTCGGAGGGATTAGGGGCTTCCAATGTTCTGAGTGCAGTGCAGCCCGGTGAAGAAGTGAACGATGATGAAGGAAGATAACGTTGAGGTACTCGTTGCTGCTCTAGGTGAACCATCCTGGTGTTTGGTTCGGAATTGAGAATTTTGTTTTCGTTAGAGTCAGGCCGTAACGATATCCTGGAAGCCAAAGAACTATCAACCAACGAATTGCTGATACGTGCACCCAACCGGTGGATGTAAGATTCGCTTACAATTATGTGGGATTCATCATCAGAGGATGTAAGTGGAGACCGCATGAACCGAGGATGCGATATACCTAACTGCGGTCCGATGTAAGAAAATTGGAGACCGAAAAATGTAGAGTGTATTAGTGAGTGAAATTAATTATGTCGAAAAAAATAGAAAAAAGGTTGCCGACTGGACTC